CGGCAGCGCCTTCCGGCCGCGGCGCGGGCGTCAGGATGTCCGAGAACCAGCCCAACGCCAACAACCACCACCCGGCCAACAACAACGGGGGTGGCGGGGCTGCCGGGGGAAACAACCGGGGTGTCCGAAACCCCAACCTCAACCAGAACCCCCTGATCAACGTCCGCGATCGGCTCTTCCACGCGCTGTTCTTCAAGATGGCCGTGACCTACGCTCGCCTCTTCCCACCCTCCTTCCGCCGCGTCTTCGAGTTCTTCGTCCTCCTCAAGGTGAGGGGCAGCGTTTCGGGAGGAGTGGGCGCTCCTCGTGCTGCCCTGCAGCTGGCCACCAGTTTCCTTATAAACACATAAAAGCTTGGCTCTGCTAGAGGTCACAGCCTGAGTCTGGGCCACACCTGCCCCAAGCTGTCTGCTGTGGGCTGGTCTGCTGTGAGAGATGTGGATACTTGTAACGATCCATGGGGCCCCTCCCCACTAGAGCTCTGGTACCAGAGCTGGATTTAAAAGGCATTTGCTGAGACAGCTTGCTGGGCGGCCAGGCTCAGGAGTGCAGGCATGTGAGGTTTCTGTTTCCATTCCTAAGCAGGCAGTCTCACTGGATACCTTGCACACGAGAGATATTTGATTGTTGGTGTTTTGTTGGAGTCTTGTGCTTTCTAGAAGTGATTAACCCACAACTCAGTTTTAGCCTGTTTTACTGCCAGCCCCTTGGCTGTGCTGGCTCAGTGTCACAGCACTGTATGGCAGGATGAAAAGAGCCACGGAGGGTCCTGTCAGTGTCACAGGGTGAGCTGCCCATGGGGTGAATCCTGCTCTGCAGCTCCCAGGGCACAGGGTGGTGCCAGCGTGGGAAGTGGGAGCAGGACAGAGGAGCTGCCCAGGTGACAACTGCAGGCTCTGCTACGGGTTTCTAAAATTCAGTTGCTTAAAGCAAGAAAATATTGAGGACAACTTGTCCCATACTGCACATATAGATTTTTTTCCCCTCCCAAGAAATGTTCAGTGTTTTAACGTCTCTTTTTTACCCCCATGGTATAACTGGAGTCAGGCAGAGAGGGAGCCTGGGACGGGCTGGTGCTGCGGCGAGGCTGTGGGCACAGCAGCTGGCTGGTGGGGGTTCTTGCTGCTTGTGATCAAAGCACTTCCAAGGAAGTGAGAGTATCCACAGGGCATCTGTGGGGAGCAGCCTGCTCCCCTGCAGGGTTCGGAGTCAGTCAGGCCCCAGCCTACTCCTGCTCAGGGCACCAGCAGGGGAAGTCAGACTGTGGTCCTGTGCGCTGCTGTCCACTGGCTCCTGAGTCGGCTCCTGGTTCTGGCAGCTCCACTGTGGCTCCTCCTGCACTCAGGGAGGTGTTTGATTTACCTTCCTGTGCTGCTCCTCCGCAGATGGGGTGTTTACCAGCCTGTTTATTCATAGCAAATAGGTCAAGAGTGATAGCTAGCGAGGACAGCTCACTTGATTAGGAATGAGCATCTCAGTGCAGTTGGAAAGTGAGTGTGTGAAGCTCAGCCCTGCTGTTTGCTGTACTAGTCCTCCTTAGAGTTGTCAGCTGTGAACTTTGGCCAGCGTTGGGTGAGGTCCTGCTAGGTTTACCACCTTCCCTGTAGGGAGCAAATCTTATTAGTCTGTTTTGGTTTTGGTATGGCTTTGTAGCTGTTCCATGGAGTGAGCGGAGGCAAGGGAGGGGTGATGCTCCCCAAGCCCAGCCTGGCAGCTTCACTTCTGTGGCAGAATCTGTACATCACAGCAGAGAGCATTGGGTTGAATGTGGAGCTGGATGTTCTGCCCTGGGCGTGTGGTCTCCTGCTCATGTCTTGTGTTGAGGTTTGCTTTATTCTGCCTCTGTGAAGTTGGGCTTCCTCCTCTGGGCTTCATAGGAGACGCTTTGTGCTGAGGAGGGAAGGGCTGAAAGCCATGGGTGGGGTTCTGGTTCGTTCAATGTGCTTTGAGCCTTGTCACCTGTCAGGGCTGTGTTTGGTGGGTTTGCCCTTGCTGGGGTTGTTCTTGGGACGCTGTTGGTTTGTTCTGGGAACGCTGTTGGTTTGTTCTGGGAACACTGTTGGTTTGTGGGACCTCACACAGTGCTGGGGTCTGTGTGTGAGCTGTGCTTTCATCAGGACGTGCTGCATGGGTATCAGTGGCAGCTCTGCTCCAGTGAACAGGAGACTGTTCTTGCTGTTGTTTTGGTGTGTTCCCCTGTTGATATGGTAATGCTGAAATTGCCTAATTTTGGGCTGCTGAGACCACGGGGATGGGGAAGCACAGAAACTCCTGTCACTTGCAGATCCATTCATCTGAACTAATGCAGTGCCTTTGTGGGCAAAGAGATGGTTAAATCTGGGGGTGTCTGTGAAGGGGCGAGGGCTGGGTGGGCTGACGGCGCCTGCTTTTCCCCTGCAGGCTCTCTTTGTGCTCTTCATCCTGGCTTACATCCACATCGCCTTCTCCCGCTCCCCCATCAACTGCCTGGAGCACGTGCGGGACAAGTGGCCGCGCGACGGGATCCTGCGGGTGGAGATCCAGCGCAACTCCAGCCGGGCCCCCATCTTCCTGCAGTTCTGTGGGGTCGAGAAGTTCCCGGGAATGGTAGTTGAATCCACAGCTGAGGAAGAGGAGGAGGAGGAGGAAATGACTGTGGATATGTTTGAAAACAGCTCTGTCAAGGTAAAGATGCCTGCCTTGTGTACACAGAGGGAGGTGGGAACCTGGGTGTGGGTTTGGGGATAAATGGTTTGTCAGAGTTTGTTACAGCCCTGGGTGATCCCTCGGTCACCTGGGAGCAGAGTGTGCTCCTTGGCTTTTCCTGGGTCTCCACCTTAGCATCTGATTTACAATAGAAAGTCAAGCCTGAGAAAGTGTCCTCTCGTGTCCTCCTTTTGTTGGTGGGGGCCTTGGCGGGGGGTGCAGAGGGAGGACAGGGGACAGGAGCTGCAGGAAGTGCCAACACCACGTTCCCTGCCACCGTTTCCCCACAGTTTGAGCTGGACATCGAGCCCAAGGTGTTCCTCAAGCCATCCCGGGTGAGCAGCACCGAGGCCCTGACCCACAACGAAAGCCAGGAGTTCTCATTTAGTGAAGCAGCCACTAAAGGTATGCAGCCTCTGAGGGAGACTGTGTCCGAGTTTGAGATGCTAGCCCGAGCAGGTAAAGACCCCTTCCTGCTGCCCCCGCTCCCCCCGCGCGGCCCCTGCATGTCTTGTTCCCTCTGGTTTCCCTGGGCACCTGCATCATAACCTCAAACGTCTCCCCTGCTGTATTTCCCCGGGGTTACTCTTGTCAATACTAACACAGCTGCACAGCAGTGGCTGGAGGGGCTGGGGGCGTCTGATGCCCCCTGGGCTGGCACCGTGTCTGTGCAGCGGCAGCACCTGGGATTGCAGGGGAACGTGGCCCCTCCTGAGCCGCTCTATGTGCTCTTAGGGTGTGAGGGAAGTTCCTCCTCCCAGTCAAAGGGTTCGGTCTGTATTTTGGGTCCCTGAGTCAACACCGGTGCTTAGAATTGGGTGCTTAGAATTAAGCTAATTAATCCTGAAAGCCACCAAGCGAGTTTTGGTGGATTGTGAGATGCAGCCTCACTGCTCTGCGTCCTCCAGGATATTGTCCTGCTCTGTCCCACCCCTGCTGCCAGCTCCTAAACTCAGGGGACATTTAGTGCTTTTGTATTACTGAAAATGGAATTCTGCTGTTGGAAAACTTCTGTTTCTAATGGTTAGGGGAGGAAATCTATTAGAACATTTGTCTTTTCTAATGGGTCCTAAATACCTGGTTTTATTGTTTTTCCAGGTTTTCTTGTGCTCTAAGGAGACCTAATTTGATGTTTAGACAGAATATTTTACCATGGACAAATGTTTTATGATACAGAGGAAGTAATTATTTTGTTGATACCTAAACACTTTTATTTCCATTTGAGCTTAAAACGATTTCATAATGGAAACAAAAGATGAAGCAAACACACCAGCCTGTGTTTGCTGCCCAAGAAGTGGGGTCAGAGGTGAGGTGGGCAGTTCTTGGTGAGAGCCCTGTGGGGTGGTTCAGCTGGTGTACAGTGTGTTTTCCTGCTATTTCCCAAACAACATGGACAGCAGAAACTGGACAGAGCAGGAACAAGTCTGGGACTCACCAGGCACAGACATGGACAGGTTCTGGACACTAGATAGAGCTTGGAGCCTCTGCCTGGAGCTTTCCCATAAGTTTCATGTTAAGGACTAATGCCAAGGGAATGGGCTGCAGTTTTAAAGGATTTGTATTGATTTGTTTTAAATCGGCTGGAGGAAGCTTGGAGCCTGTGTCTGCAGCTGGGTCTCCTTCCCAGAGCAGGGAGGGAGGGAGGAGGGGAGGGGAGCAGAGCTGCTGCTTCCTGGTGGTCGCTGAGTCCCCTCCTCCCACAGTGTGGCCGCAGGAGGAATACATCGTGGAATATTCGCTGGAATACGGGTTCCTGCGCCTGTCCCAGAGCACCCGACAGCGCCTCAGCATCCCGGTCATGGTGGTGACCCTGGGTGAGTGAGGGGACCACCCCCCGGGCGGGGATGGGGGCAACCCCCCGGGCGGGGCGGGAGCTCTGCAGAGGTGCCTGCCAAAACTGCTGGCAACAGTTGATGGCGCTGGTTTTCCGGGCAGGAGAGCTGCCTGGGGAGGGTTTGTGGCTGCAGTAGCTTGTACCTCTCCACGAGGAGCACTCTGAAATGGTGGAGCCTGTTTCTCTGAGGTCCAGCACAGGTTTCTCACTGAGAAAGGAAGAGCCTGGTGGGACTGGAGCTCTGGGCTCAGCGTGGAGCAGCAGCAGGGCAGTGGTAGAGCCCCATGGCCAGAGCAGCTGTGCCTATGTCAGGGCAGACTGAGCAGATCTGCTTTGCACTGTCTGAACACACTTCTGTGCCCCTGTCAGCTCCAGCAGACTGGTTTCTTCTCTGGGATTTGCTCCATTAAAACCTGTCCCAGTCAGGAATACAGTCTCGAACCTTTAATGCCTGTGAACTTAATTGGTCTGTACTGAGCTGCTATGGCAGCAATCACACTGGACTTCATTATCCTAATGAAACTCCTAATCAAACTGCAGCACAGCTGGGCTGGAGTATTTGCATGGATCTGCTGGGAAGTGGGTCCTTGGGAGTGAGGAGGAGACTCTGCTTGCCTTGCCACCTCTCTGGCTTAAGAAGTGAGCAATCTGAGTGGATTTTTTTATCTCCTCTCTAGATCCCACCAGGGATCAGTGCTTTGGGGACAGGTTCAGCCGCCTGTTGCTGGACGAGTTCCTGGGTTATGATGACATCCTGATGTCAAGTGTCAAAGCTTTGGCTGAAAATGAGGAAAACAAAGGTAAGGCTTGGAGGAATGGCTTTCAGCAGCTGTGCAGGACAGTTGGTGTTTTTAATATGATGCACAGATATCACCATCTGACTATTGATTAACCTCTAATGCAGGGAACAGTTCCCTGTCTTGTGTAGAGGTGTTACTGTCAAGGACAGAATGAAACAAGCAGGAGGGGAGAGGTGACTGCAGAGTGATTTCCTGCTGTCCCGTTGCTCTGCATAACAATAAGATGTCTGCCTTGGGATGGTGTTGCCACTGATGTGCTTTGGTCCTTTAGAAGGCACTGCAAGTTTGTTCCTAGTTTGTGAGTTAATCCCACTGAGGTTGTGTGTGTTTTCTCTCCAGGTTTCCTTCGCAACGTGGTCTCTGGGGAGCACTACCGCTTCGTCAGCATGTGGATGGCCAGGACGTCCTACCTGGCAGCCTTTGTCATCATGGTCATTTTTGTAAGTCAAGAAGGGCTGGGCATTGCCTGGGCTCTGTGCCCTATTCTGGGCACCATGTGTCTGATGTAGCACAGGCCTGAGCTCTTAACTGCTTTGAGAGCTAAGCTGATGGAGTATGAGGCTCTGCTCTGGTTTTTAAAGTACTTTTTTCAATGTGGGTTGATAATGTCCTAACAGTGAAACAGACAGAGGAGCAGAAACAGAGTGAGGTGATGGCTTTGTTGTCAAAAGAGGAATTCACCTTAGAGAGTCTCTGAATGTGCTTAAACACTCAGGCTGCCAAGGCACTGGGTGTGGATGTTTGTCCTCTGAGACTTTTAGGAACAGGCCTGACTAATTTGGCAGGAGCCATCAAGATAGAACCGAGTCTCCTGTGATTATGTGTGAGACAAGGCGATGATGGATGAGTATGAGACAAGATCCCAAGTGATAACTGAGCCTGTGTTCAGTCTTGGGTGACTGTCTCCCTTTGTGCCTGTCCGTGCACTGGGGCAGCTTTGTGTACAACAGTTGGGCTGCGGGGAGGTGTGAGCTGCTGGGGGGAGGTGTGAGTTGCTGTGGGGCGCCCAGAGCAGGACGGGGAGGAACCCCAGATCCAGCCCTGCTGCTGCTGTTGGGTTTGGCCCCTGCTCCAATATTCTAAATCGTTCTCTTTACAAACAAATTCCTGTCTATTTCACTGCAGTAATACAAAGATTAATTGCTGTTTATGAAGTCCTAATTAGTTTCTGGGAAGTTGGTCTAAGGAAGGTGGGACACGTGGGGCACACTGTGACACGGGAGGTCGGCGCCTGGTGCTGTGGGGCTCTCGGACCCGCAGTGCCCTGACCCTGCTCTGCTCTCCTCCTGCAGACTCTCTCTGTTTCCATGCTGCTGCGCTACTCGCACCATCAGATCTTCGTCTTCATTGGTAAGGATTTTCTAAGGGATTCAGGCTGCTCTGGACACCCTGCCTGCTCCAGCTCAGTGTGTCCTCTATAGATACTCTTGACTGTTGTTTGGAAGGGTCTGGGTGTAGGTGCATAGGGAATATATCACCCTGTGCTCTGGTGACTGTGCCTGAGAGCTGCTCTGTCTCCTGACAAGTAAGTGTCAGGGACTTTGCTGCATGTTGCTGTGCCCAGCATGAGGGGTGATGTGGGGTGGAGGGTCCCTTGGCCCCACAGCCACTTGGTGTTACAGTGTGTTTTCCTTCTTGCAGTTGACCTGTTGCAGATGCTGGAAATGAACATGACAATTGCGTTCCCTGCAGCTCCCCTCCTCACTGTCATTCTGGCTCTAGTAGGTAAGGACATGAGCTCACTTCCTGTCCATGTGCAGCAAGTTCCTTTGGGATCTGTAGAAAATACAATTCCCTGTTTTGACCTGGCCAGGGCAGGTGGTTGGCTGGTGTGTCCACTCATCACAAGGTGGAAAGCTCTGGAATTTGATGGACAGTGAATTGCATTGTCCTTCTGGGTCCCCTGGAAAAGGAATTCATTTGGAAATCACAGAAACTGAAGCTTTGTCAGTCACATTAGTTCATTTCAGATTCACACTCTGTGACCACATTACATTAGTGCAGTTTGAATTAAAAAGCTAAACAGCAGCAAAGCCCAGGTCTGTGCTGCCAGGAGCCAGCTGCTCCCCTGGCCCCGTCTGCCCTCAGCTGCTGCAGGCAGAGCTGGTTCCCCTGGCTGTGGTCCCTGCCATGCCCCAGCTGTGTAGCCACAGAGTTCCTGCCCCTCGGGAAGCCCTGGCCACGCTGGGGTGGGAGCTGAGCAGTGTGTCCTGCAGGGATGGAGGCCATCATGTCAGAGTTCTTCAATGACACCACGACTGCATTCTACATCATCCTGATCGTGTGGCTGGCCGACCAGTACGATGCCATCTGCTGCCACACCAACACCAGCAAGAGGCACTGGCTCAGGTAGGAGCTGGCTCGTTCCATGTTGTCCCACTCTCGGGTGAGAAGAAGCTACTTCCCAGCCATTCCAGCCCTCCCAGGCAGGAGCAATTCTGCTCCCCAAAGCTTCTGTCACCTGGGGAGCTGCCCTGTGTGTCACAGGGCCAGGGTCTGATCCCTCCACCTGGGCTTTGTGCCTGGGTCTCAGGAATCACCCCAGTCCTTTGCCTGCCCCTGGGCTCCCCTGTTGAAGCCCTGTTTGGAGCAAGGCAATTTAATGATTAGTTGGTTAACAATTTATAGAATTATTAATTTTTAATTTACTCAAATTACTTATAATAAATTGATATATTACGTTCAACTATGATAATATAATTAAATACAACTGTAATGTACTGATATTAATTATTATAATTAATGTTTTATCACAAATCGTGTTAGATTTTAATTATAAAATAAAATAAATATAAACCTTATTATTAATTAAAATTTTCATTGTTGTTTGGTTACCTGTATCTCCTGAGATGCAGTTTCCTGCCCACCCTGTGCAAAGTGCCCCTGCTCAGGGTGGAGCTGGGAGGGCAGCTCAGGTGTGTCCTGTCACTGCTGTGCTCTGATGCTGTTGCTCTTCTCTCCAGGTTCTTCTACCTGTACCACTTTGCCTTCTACGCCTACCACTACCGCTTCAATGGGCAGTACAGCAGCCTGGCACTTGTCACCTCCTGGCTCTTCATCCAGGTGAGCAGCTGCCCCTCATGCTGCAGGTCAGGCAGGTGAGCTGGGCCTCTCCACCCTCCTCGGTGGGTCTCCCTGCCTGCGGGTGGAACTTTGACATTGCTGATGTTACCAGCACAGCCAGTGGGAGCAAAGTGAAGGAAATCAACACGGTTTGGGCTCTCTCGAGCTTCTTGTCAAGCTGAGTCTGAGTAGCAATCTTTATTTATATAAGAGATTGAAATAATCCTGGTTTGGAAGGGGAACAGCAGCAGGAGGCTCTTGAGCAGCAGGGCTTTGTGGTCGCTGGCTCCAGTCCAGCTACGTGGCTGACAGGAGGCTGATGTCAAGTGAGTTTTGGAAGGTGTTAAGGAAGGTTTTCCATGCTGTCTTTCTGGAAGAAATCCCAAGGAGGATCTCCCATGCAGAGACTGAGGAGGGGGTTGGGTCTGTGCAGGGAAGGTGCTGGCAAGACTGGCTCCAAATGGATGTCCCCAGGATCCTTGTTCAAGCAGGCTCTGTGGGTCTGGCTGTAGGGCTGCCCCATTCCCTGCTGCAGGGTTGGGTCAGGGAGCTGCCCGTGAGCCAGATGGTGTCTTTACCCTCCTTGTTCCCTCAAGGGAAGAGGGGCTGTAGTCCATGGCCCAGCTTCGGAGAGCAACTGCAACAGCTCTGGCAGCAGCCTGCAGGAATCATAGCAGAAGGGATACACCTTTCCAAACTTAAAAATAATCTCTTGTCTGTCAGGGCAGCCCAGTTCTCTGGTCCTTGCCTTTACAGCCAGAGAACAGCCCAGTTTTCTGAGGTACCTGTAGCTTCACAGCCCAGGCCCAATGAGTGACTCCTTTCCCTTTGCCTTCCCAGCATTCGATGATTTATTTCTTCCACCACTACGAGCTCCCGGCCATTCTCCAGCAGATCAGGATCCAGGAGATGCTGCTGCAGAACCAGCAAGTTGGCCAGGGGACGCAGACAACACTCCAAGACAACCTCAACAACAACACCACGGCTGCCCCCGTGGAGGCAGGAGCCCGCCGGGCCCCCCTGGCCCCCGGGCCCCCTGGGGACAGCAGCAGCCCGGCCGCCCTGGCTCCCGCCGCGGCCGCCTCTGTCGGCAGCGACCT